TTAGCGAACCGTACCTTTAGCCGAAAGCGAACCGTACTCAGACCACCTCCCGAGATGGTCTCGGTTCGGTTTGCTTCTGAGGGGTCTGAGATCGTTTGGAGTGTTCACATATGGGCCAAAAATCACGCGAACTGCACTCAGACCCCTGAAAAGGACCAAGTGTGAAAACCCCCTTAAACTATGAAGTGCTCAGCCACTTACCACCAGCCCAACCAGACTATTCTCTAGTCATTAGAATCTCATGTTTATTCGCTCAGTTAATGAGGGTGGCATACATATTCATAAACACCTTTCACTGATCAAAGAGACTCAAACTGTTTTTCCCCACTTCATGTTTGTCAATTAATTCTTAAGCCTCTTCTAGCCCCTTTGCCAGATGATTGGCGTGACCGATGCCCATCGCTTCCGCTCACACAGCAGCTGCACGCGTGTCTTTGTTCGGAATGAGCAGTTCTGTAAATCCAGTGCAACAGGTGGCCACACAAAGAGACGCGACAAGACTCCGCAGCGCTCGCTGCTTAGCAACACACGCAGAGCTGTGACTGTTGCAACTTGCATTCAGATGGTTTTGGAGGCAGAGTAGTGAAGGTGTCAGGGTGTGTTGTTGGGCTGAAGCTGTGGGGACAGCTTGACCACGGGCATCATTTTGTTTTTTAACTGGCGGGTGAGTGGGGAAGGCGTAGATGTCCTTGGGAAGTCATGAAGCGTTCAGTGTGCTGGTAAAGGGTCATACATATTAATTAGATTGAGCACATATTTTAAAAAGTTATTGTTTTTATTCAAATTTTTACAGTAAGTTTCAAATCATTGTAATGAATTACTGCATTATGTATCATAAACTAACATGCAACATTTTTACATAATCTATTTAAGTCATGTAAAAGTTTGCGAAATTAATACTTTTATATAGCAAAGACACATTAAAATTATTAATAGTAAATGCGGTTCTAATGCTACAAAAGATTTCTATTAAAAATACTATTTTTTTATTTTATTTTCTATTCATCAAAGAATCCTGAAAAAGCATCAGTTTCTGCAAAAATATTAAGCAGCTCTTTTCTGTGATACAGGGTATGTTTCTTGAGCGCCAAATCATCAGCATATTAGAATGACTTTTAAAGGATTGTATGATACTGAAGGTGGCTGAAAATTCTGCTTTGCCATCACAGGAATAAATTCCATTTTAAAGTATATTAAAATGAAAAGCGTTTTTTTTTGTAATAGTATTTCACAATATTACTGTTTGTACTGTATTGAGAACAAATAAATGCAGCCTTGATGAGCATAAGAGACAGAATTCAAAAACATAAAAAACAAAATATTACCAACCCCAAATTTTTAAACGGTATTGTAGCTTTATATTAATTTATTATTAATATTTACTATTAATATACTATGTTGTTCGTTGTTAAAGCTGCAGTCCGTAACTTTTTTTGTGTTCAAAATTTACAAAATTTATATAAGTAGTAAGTACACCATGAATCCATTTTCCAAACCATGTTTTTGGCTTGTCCTGAATCACTACGGTACACCTATAATACGTGTTTATCTTCGGACTATTTAGACTGGTTCGGGTAGGTACCGCTGCGGAGTAGCCCAGTACCTGCGTGATTCGCCATAGACATAAACAGAGAGAAGTAGCTCCGGCTACAATGTTCTTCCGCAAGACGCACGCAGTTCTGTTTATTAACCGCTAGAGGGCCAAAAGTTACGGACTGCAGCTTTAAATGGGTCATATGATGCGATTTCATTTTTTCCTTTCTCTTTGGAGGGTCAATAATGGTAATTCTTATCATTTCTAAGATGTTAAAGATGTATTGGCATTTGCAGAAAGGAATTTTAACCCAGATTTTAAATGCTGTATACAAGTGTTGTTCGTTGTTACTATAGTCTGATACCCAATGCATAAACTAAGGTAACAAAATTGAAAATATGCCACCAGTAGTTCTAAGATTCTTCACTTGGGATATTTTTTTTGCATAATGAATTACAGCGCATTCCTAGGAAGTCAAACCCATGATTTTAGTGTTGGCAGTGGCGTGCTTTGCTAACTCAAATACAAGAACCCAAATAGATAAGCTAATAAATACTAAATATCACTAATTGGTGTATAACATTTTTTTGCTGGGAATATGAGGTCATCGCTTTTACTTTCCACCACTGATGACAACAGCACCATTAAAACATTAGATTCTTATAACTCTAAATGAAACAACATTAAAACCCCTCAACAATTGGAGATGCTAGTAGATTGCGCAAGTGGTAAGCAAAAATTGGTGAGCGCATATCCGCATGGTAAATGACACCTATTTGCTTGAGCTTGTTCTTCCGCAGCTAAAGCCATCGAAGTGTGGAAACACGTCTGTGTCAAAACCAAGAAAGGAAGTGAGTGACTCAGGTTGACATGTGGTTTTTATCTAAAGTTTCGCCATTTCCTACCCAGGCCCCTCACATAAATACACATCACCCATCTGTCCCTTGCATTTTTTGACATTTCCCCATTTCTAATGACTCAAGAGGTCTGTGTGTGTGTGTGAGAGAGAGAGAGAGACAGAGAGCCCTGTGACGGACAGCCCTCGCTGAAGCCTCTGTTCTCAGTGACATGGGTCAGGGTGGAGATGTTTAGGCATATCTTCCGCACCAAGCCACGCATGCAACAGGCAAGTGTACTTGTCCTTTACCCGAGGGAATCGAGAGAAGAGGGGTAGAGGGGTTTGTTTAGGATGAGAGACGAGAGCTACAGGCTCTATTCTGATGTGGTTCGGAACGAGAGGTCCAGATGGGGCGTTATCCATTATGTTGTGACTTGTGTTGATTTGCGCGAAATGTTTTTTTTGTTTAAAATTCTACTAGAGGTTTTTTCAACAAGTTTTTTGTGGGCAAGTCCCTCATTTGTAAGCTGTTTCACTGTGACTTTTCTGTGTGACCGAACTTGTTTGAACATTTCTGAAACCGGAAACGTCTGGTTTACGATGCAGAAAGCTGCAGCCTGTAGCTTTGTGGGTTGTTCAGCATTGCGAAAAATATATTTGGTGTTAAATCCTGTATGTTTTCTCTTTCAGTTTTTATATCTGTTATTAATTGTCCAGTTAAAATTTCTGTCAGAAACATGAGTCATTTTAGTTCAACTGTACGTAATGGAGAGCTTACAGAGATAGATGTGCTCATTACAAAATAATGACAACGGAAGTGCTATTTGTCCATATGTTCTCCCTCTTGGCATTTGTGTTGTGGTATTGGTCATTTTGAAGCAGAGTGAAAGTAAAGTGACAGATAAAATAAGTTTATATTGAGTTACACAGTGTTGAGTGTTAAAGGTCATCGGTGAATGCAAGAGTGACTGCAGAAGGAATATTAGAGAAGTTTCTCTCAACCTCAGCTGTAACAGGAAGTTTCGACTGATACAGTGTTTTTGTTTCAACACTGAACAACTACATTAAGTTCTTTACTACAGCGATTAAAGGGATAGTTCACATGAAAAATGAAAATGCTATCATTTATTTACCATCAAGATTGTGCCGGTCACTGTTTTATAGTGCAACAAGGTCCATACGACTCGCTATATTAAAAGTCTTCTGAAGCAATGGTCCAAAATTTAATCTGGATGTGAAGTTTAATTGTAAATGAATCTTTCTCCTTATTGTTCTCATTTGTAATTCGCTTTGGACAAAAGCATCTTCTAAATAACTAAATGTAAATGTAAATGTATTGGAATCTTTTAAATAAACCCATTTCACAATCCAGTTTGCGAATCTGACTGATCTGGTTCTCAAGTTCAACTCACTGGCTTAATGTGTTTTCACACCGTGCTCATTTGGAGCATTTATTATTTCAGAACCAGAGGCATGTTTTCTCCCTTAGCTTGGTTTGTTTAGGAATATATGAGCAAAGCAATCATGCCCCGATCTGCACTAAAACAATCGATCTGAGATTGTCTGAACAATGTGGTCTTGGTCCAATTGAATTGTAACATTTTAAGTCCTCGGTTCAGACCAAAGTGAATGTTCTACCCACTGAAGAGGAAGATTATCATTAAATAGCATTATAAATTTCAGTCTTGTGTTTCTCACCCAAAGCTTTGACTTTAGAATTGATTTGAAATTTCTTGAATTCTTAGGTGCTTCATCAGTGCACAGGAGTGAAAGTGTAAAGAAAACATTAATTTTGTTCTTAGTTTGATTCTCTCTTTGTTCGCTTCTTCCTCCCCAACCCCACATTAGCAGTACAAGTCACAGATCACCTGGGTAGAGAAAGAGTTTGCTGATATCAATGTGAAGGTAAGATTTCTGAGCTTTCTGCTCCCACCTGCTTTCCTCTTTGAGCTCTGTCACACTGTCTGTCAGCTTGGGTTCTAACATGATTTACAGTAGAGGAAGAGGAGCACTGGGACATGTCTAAAACTGACCTTTAATAGCTTTCCTTAGTGTTTGTTGTTTCTTTGATTATGACTTCCACTTGTAGTATCAGGCTGGACTGGTCAGGGTCAGAGGAAGACCTGTATGTTTTAAAGCACCACCGTATTTTTAGCTCTGTTGAGAGTGAGAGGGGAAATCAGCAAGGCATTATGGGACAGAATGAGCATTTAAGTGTGCACCCGAGAGAAACACACATTGAGCTACATCTTAGGCAGCAATGTTTTTTCTTGGTCTTTCTTTTTCTGGATCTGTGTATTTTTCTTTTTCTTTTTCTTTCTTTCTTTCTTTCTTGTCAGTAATGTTAATAAAAATAACTTCTGTATTTAAAATATTTTATAAAATCCTTTTAATATATAATAAAATAATTATTTTTTTCTTTCTTCTATATATCTTTATTAGCCCATCTGTCACACATTACTATGTCACATCCTCCCTTCCTCTCTCTCTTCCTCTCTCTCTCTCTCTCTCTCTCTCTCTCTCTCTCTCTCTCTCTCTCTCTCTCTCTCTCTCTTCTCTCTCTCTCTCTCTCTCGCTCGCTCGCTGTGTTTTTTTTCTCTCACCAGTTCTGTTTTCAGGTCTCTGTCTCTTCCTTCCTCTTCCTGCGTGCCTCACTGTAGTTGTCAAGTAGGGCAGAGCACACATCCTGACTCCACACACACTGCCAGACTCTGCTCACTCCTTCTCTGGGATGAGTTTTGTTGTCCATGGCTGCCCCGACAGCAGGCGGATGGGGGTAACAGTGGAATGCCCTGGCTAGAGGAGGGATGAAGAGATGGAGAAAGAGAAGAGGAAGTTTAAAGTCAGCCAGTTATTGAGTCTCTACCTGTTCAAGAGGCAGCACAGTAAGGCTTTAGCGAATGCCACTCAGTCCAGAGAGGAGACTAACAGCACCACAAACTCGGCTCAGTCTAGTGCAGCTTTAACCGATGAACATACGACGTGGACGGTCAGTGCACACACACACAGTATAGTGGCATTGCTTTGTAGAGGAGTTGTAGTATGTTGTTTGTTGCTAGGATGGTTGTATTTCGAGACTATACAAAATCTACATTTGTTTTGTTGAATAGGGCCACACTGGTTGTATATGTAAACAAACTTTTCTTGAATTAATTGTCATTTTACAAGTCAAAACTCTGATTTAGTTTGATTTTGTCAGATGTTTGCCGCTTGAATTTTGTCGTCCTTAAAACAAGACATCAAATGCATCTTTCATGTGGTACATCTGCAGGAGAACAGCTATGATATGTGCTTCAGAGCTCTGTGACACTGTTTGTTTCTCTTTTTATGATACAAGTGTTAGCAACACCCTAAAACCTGTCAAATGCTGAAATCCTCCTTTTCTGAACTTTAGCTGACTTGTGTTCGGCATTAAAACTGCAGCAAATTGCCACCCAAAAATAAATGCATTTCAGACTTTGATAAAACTGAGAGGCTTTTGAAGTAAATAATTGATATTACAAAGTAATGAGATTAATAATGTGTCATCATAATTTGTAACTTTTTTTAAAGAAATCAATTCATTCATCTGATTTCAGGGTTTAATTGATTAATGCGCAGAAAAGTTGGCAAACATAAACTGAATTTCTAACATCCACCTAGCATTTGCTGTAGACTTCATTTTTTTTCTGATTGTCTTCTGATATATATAGGCCTATATATATATATATATACACACACACACACTCACCCACATGCCATTCAAACCTGTGTGACTTCTTCTTCTGTAGAGTATAAGTTGTTTTGAAATATGTTGGGAACTAAGTTTCGATGACCATTGTCTTCCATTGTATGAAAAAAAAATATTTCTTCAAATATCTTTTGTGTTCCACAGAATAAAGCCATAAAAGTTTGGAACAACTTCAGGAGGAGTAAATGATGACAGAATTCTAATTTTAGGTTGAACTATCCCTTTGAATGATTTATTTATTGACGTATTGGTACTGTTTCCATCCCTGTGATAATTTTGGTGGTCAGTTAGTCAGAATTGTAGGTTGTCTAAGCAGATCTGATATTAGTCTAACTGGGTTTGATATGATAGTGCTCGTTAGTGAGATGTGTTTGTGCTTTTATTGTACCATGTTCTCAGAATTCAGAGTTTAATTTTGATTCGACCATTAACCATTTCCTCCTAAACATGTTTACCCCTTCTGTCTTTCTCGCTAGTCACAGGGGAAATGTGACACATAGCACTTTCAGCAGAGCCTACATGCTTTCTATCAGCTTTAATAAAGGATAAACTGCTAGTCATTACACTCTCTGATCTGATAGGTTTCAAGTGTTTTTCTATGTGGCTTTAAATCGCATTCTTGAGCTTCTCAATAACTTCTCCTCACTCATCTCAACTGCACCCTTGAGGCTGAAACTTGCAAAATAACTATCGAATAACAAGTGGTGGTGGTGGAGCCTTAATGGTTTTGGATGATAACACAGAAGTTGCAGGTTCAATTCAGGAACAGAATCCCTCATATAATTATTATATAGCTATATGTATTTTTTTTATAAACTTTATCTCCTACTGGTGACGCTTTGAAAACCAAATCCCCCTCTGAGCCTAATTCAGATCTCATAATGTTGTTTAGGCCCCAGGAGATATTTGTCATTGACAGTGGTATTGATTCAATCTTGAAATAGTGAACACCAGTCAGTGACCTATACATGATAATCTGCTCTATGAGACAAGATAAGCAGTTACTGTGAAATTATTAAAGAAAATGGCTTATCGTTCATTGACCTCCAGCGTCGGAGATTATGTCCACTTAAGCCAGCTTTGAGCTTTAATAATCAAGCTCATCTTCCTGATCAGTCGGCTGTCTGCTCTGTATATGTTTTATGCCAAATACCCTGACAGAAGCTGTGGTTGATATCCGTCTCGGTCTCCTGTGTTGTAGGAAGATGGTGACATCAAGGAGATCAACATCACACATGTTGTTAAGGAGGGGGCGGAGAAAGCAGACCCCTCACAGTTCGAGCTGCTCAAAGTGCTGGGGCAGGGCTCCTTTGGAAAGGTAAAGAGAGTCTCATATGCACAAACTTTAAAAATTCATAGATGTCTTGTGTTTGTTGACTTTGATGTGTGTTCCTTGTATTTAGCTTATATAAGATGCTGTAAGAACTGTTAAGCAAAAGCTAGTTAATGGTGATTTTGTGATGTTCAGAGGGTTTTACTGCTCTGGACCAGAGCAAACGTGAATGAATTGGGAGTCTGCAATCCACCAGCACATCCCTTGCCCGTATCATCATTCGGAATTAAATAGAAAATTCCTTTAGCTTCCATTTCATTTGATGATTTTAAATTAATGTAGCAGACAATATCAAATTTGAATTTCGGGATGTAGAATTGTGTTTTGTATTTTGATTTAATAATCAATGTTTCCAATCAAACCAATCAAATGTTTATCATATTTTTTGTTGACATTTGTTCAATTTTAATTGATTTATATGCACAATTGATTTATATTCACTACTGATTGAAGGTGTGGGGTCAGTAAGATAAAAAAAAAAAAGAAGAAGAAATTTATATTTTTATTCAGCAAGGATGAATTAAAGTGACAATGAAGACTACAAATAAAACAGTTATATTAAATTGTAATAATACTTTATAATATTTACTAATATTTCATAATATGTTGCTAAATGCAGCACTGGTGAGCATAAGGAACTTGTTTCAAAACGTTAAACAATCTTACTGATCCAACATTTTTGAATGGTATTTAAAAATAAAAATAAAATTGGAACACCTCATTTTTCCAATTGTTCTAATTTGCCTGGAAAGATATTCCATTCTCTACTTAATCTCAGTGGCAAGACATTTGAGGACCTTTTTGCTAATTAAGTGTGACAACATTTAGTAATGACTTGTTCATTGTGAATATTTACACTTACCGGCAATGAATGTCTTTGGATTACGATTCAGACAAGTTCTCTTCCTGTCATTCAATTCAATACAACTTCCTGTTGGAAGTTTACTATCTCATAAAATAAAAATGAACCAGTTCCTTTATTGTGAATTCAAAAAAAAAAAATGAGTATGGGTTTTTACGTTCTTTTAATAGCAGTAAATATCCCAGTGCCTTTAAAGGGATAGTTCACCCAAAAAGGAAAATTGTCAGTAATCACTCACCCTCGTGTCGTCCAAACCCATAAGACCTTCGTTAATCTTCAGAACACAAATCAAGATACTTTTGATAAAATCCGAGAGCTTTCTGACCCTGCATAGACAGCAACGCAACTGACACGGTCAAGGCCCAGAAAGGTAGTAAGGACATTGTTAAAATAGTCCATGTGACATCAGTGGTTCAACCTTAATTATATAAAGCTACGAGAATACTTTTTATGCACACATAAAACAAAAATAAGGACTTCTTCTAACAAAACAATTTGTTCTCTTCTGTACCAGTCTTCAATGTGCATTCATGCGCGTACCACGACTTTATGCGAGTGGTGCTGCTGACGCAGAAGCCAGTGTTCTGACATAGAACATCCATCTCTCTTAGTTCATTTTCTGTATATTCTGGTTCAAATAAGTAAGGCTGGGCAAAAAAATTCAGAACGGCGGCTCCTGCATTAGCAGCACCACACGCATAAAGTCGTGGTACTCTCATGAACGTGCAATGGAGACTGACAAGGAAGATAAGTAATTGTTGAATAAAGTCATTATTTTTGTTTTCTTTACACAAAAAGTATTCTCATAGCTTCATAAAATTACGGTTGAACCACTGATGTCACATGGACTTTTTTAACAATGTCCTTACTACCTTTCTGGGCCTTGAACGTGTCAGTTGCGTTGCTGTCTATGCAGGGTCAGAAAGCTCTCGGATTTCATCAAAAATATCCTAATTTGTGTTCTGAAGATGAACGAAGGTCTTGCGGGTTTAGAACGATATGAGGGTGAGTAATTAATGACAGTATTTTCATTTTTGGGTGAACTATCACTTTAAAAACGGACTTAACCTGAATTGCTTTCAGTGAACGTTCAGCACAACAGTTTAATAACTCTGTAGAGTGAAAGCATGTTTTTTGTGTGTGTGTGTGTGTGTGTGTGTGTGCACAGGTGTTTTTGGTACGAAAGGTAACCCCTCCTGACAGTAATCAGCTCTACGCCATGAAGGTCCTGAGAAAGGCAACACTCAAAGGTACAGCATCAGTGTAAACACACACACCACAAACCACACAAGCTTCCTTTACTAACATATACAGCGCTGCAACAACAGCTGCTTTCATTTAACATTGTTCCTCCTGGCCTGTTTTTCTTTCTTTACTCTTGTGTCACTCCCAGGTCTTTGTGTAACCACAGATACCAACCCTGAGGATTACACCAATCATGAATTTACCATTTGAATTGACCAGATTTTCATATACTATTGTCAGACCTACAGTATCAGATGGGATTTGCAGTGTCACCATACACAATATTTTGTCATTTTTTTGGCATATTCCTTCAACTCTGAATCTGAATTTGTTTCAGTGTCAGCGAGGTCACAGATTAACGGTAACTCCTCTGCGGGTACACTTACTTCCTGTTTTTTTTACTGTGCACCCCAATGACAGAAAATCCCGCCATGTTTACAAACCTGAGGTTTTAGGTTCAGGTGTCAGTTCACTGAAATCTCAGTAGCTATCTCTTCTTCTCTCCTCCTCCTTTCTCTCCGTTCCTAAAAAGAGAGCCTTCACAGATCTAATGAGAGCTGATAACAACACTTCCTACAAACATATGCTATCTGATGAACTTCTGCTTCAGACTTCCGCTAAGTTGAATCTGCTGCTACCTCGGTCGCTTGCAGAAAAAACTTTTTCATGCTCAAGTTGACTTTGTTAGCTGTGGCCAGATATTTCCTCAAAACCCATGTGAAATTGTTCTCATCACAGTGAGGGATCGTGTGAGAACTAAAATGGAGAGAGACATCCTGGCAGACGTCAACCATCCGTTTGTGGTTAAACTCCATTATGGTGAGTGAGTGTGATGTCTATGATACATTACCAATAATATGTGCTCATGCCATTTCCCCTTCCTTAAAGGAATAGTTTATGCAAAAATTAAAATTTTGTCATCATTTTTTCATTGTCATGCGATTCCAAATTCCATGGTACACAAAAGGAAAGATTCTAAGGACTGTACTGGTACTGCTTTCCTATGTAATTTCAATGAATGTTGACTGCAGAAGCACCATTAAAGTATCAGAAAAGCAGCCTATTCCAAGACTTCAGAAGTCACACAATAGCTTAGTTTGATGAACATGAAAAATTTAAGTTGTTATTCAATAAAAATCTTGCCATCCATTTATTGACAGTGAAGTCGTGTGAAGTAGTGAAGTCAGATTGAGTTGGATCATTTCAGTGAATAAGTTGATTCATTGATTCAATGATCAGATTCAACTCACTGACTCAATTTGTTTGCAATAGTTAACAGCTCCTGGATGGGAAGATAATTAATGAATAACAACTTAAAATTTGGTCTTTTGGCATTTGCATCCTTTTTGATGCTTCAGTGACATGATGGTGAGTAAATTATGACGATCTCTTTAAATGTCACAAAAGGCACTATTATTGAATTGCTGTGCTGCATGTGATTTTATTAAGAAGGAATTATTAAATTACTTCAATTCAGTGTTCCTGAATGATTCTGGTCCTAAAATTAATGTAAAGAGTAAAAAGATTTGTTTACAGTTCAGAGTCCATGTTTGCAGGGTCATTACATTAATTTGAGTAATTGAACATCGTAATCTTGCATTTTACCTGCTTGACGGGGGCCTTAAATTATAGAGGAAGCTGTAGGAGCTTATCATTAGTGACTAACAGATCAGATTAACTTCAAGCGCACTTCTTTGTGGGTGTGTGTGTTCAGCTTTTCAGACTGAGGGTAAGCTCTATCTGATTCTGGACTTCCTCAGAGGAGGGGATCTATTCACCAGGCTGTCAAAAGAGGTATATAATACTCATATCAATGAGCGCAATATCCTATTCTTTGTCTACATTGTATTCACACCATCTCTTTGGTGTTCAGGTGATGTTCACAGAAGAAGATGTGAAGTTTTATCTGGCTGAACTGGCACTGGGTCTAGATCACCTGCACGGCCTCGGCATCATCTACAGAGATCTCAAACCTGAGAAGTATATATTTATACACACACACACAAAACATAAACTCACTGAGGAGATGCTTGACATTGTAAACACATGTTCACACCATGAATCCTGCTACCTACTGTCACGTACGAGTGATATTCTTTAGATTTGTATTTTAACGTGACTCACTTAACAAATTAATTTTCTGTGTTCTATTTTCTAGTATCCTCCTGGACGAAGAGGGACATATCAAACTCACAGGTACAATAAAAACACTGGTTTACCAAAGGATTTAGACATACTTTAGTCATAATGTTAATTGGTGTAATTGGTTTTGTTTTTTCTCTCAGATTTTGGACTGTGTAAGGAGGCTATCGACCTTGAGAAGAAGGCTTACTCCTTCTGTGGGACAGTGGAGTACATGGCTCCAGAGGTGGTTAACCGGCAGGGACACATGCACAGCGCTGACTGGTGGTCATTTGGGGTACTGATGGTATGAACGGATTCATGCAGAAGTGGAGAAAACCTGCTTTGCTGTCAATTATATTTTGTCTAATTGTATTTGCTTTAATAGTTGTTTTCTGTTTCTCTGTTTCTGTTTACAGTTTGAGATGCTTACAGGTTCACTGCCATTCCAGGGAAAAGACAGAAAAGAAACGATGAGTCTCATCCTGAAGTGAGGATCCATTTAATTTTGTTTTTATAGAGTCTTTAAATAATATTCTCAAATTTGTTTTTAAATGAAGCATTTAGGATAAATGTGTTTTACGTTACGATTGGGCTCATTTTTTTTTGTCCTAGGAAATAGTCTTCAGTGCATCATTTTCCATTTCATTGGTTTGCCTAATTTGTTACTAGCAAGCTGTTGGAAGAAAAACAATATAAGCTGTTAAACAACAATTGATCTCTATTATGTGTTAATATTGCCTTTGCCTACACTAAATTAATACTTTTATTCAGCAAGGAGACATTAAATTGATCAAAAATGACAGTAAGTCATTTATAATGTATTGATAATTCAATTTCAAATGAATGATGTTCTATTGGAATTTCTCTTCAAAAACACCAAAAAAATCTTCCTGAAACTTTTGTACAGTAGCATATATGTTGTGAACATTGATCAGTTTTTGAGTCAGGAGGATTATTGTTTGGTTTTCTCTTCAGAGCCAGGTTAGGGATGCCTCAGTTCCTGAGTGCTGAGGCTCAAAGCTTACTGAGAGCTCTGTTCAAGAGGAACCCCACCAACAGACTGGGTAATGAATACACAATCAGATTGTTTTATGTACACTTTTTTAAATTTTCCAGTTAAGTCAATTTTATTATATTAAAATTGTACTTGGCACATTAGATAAAAGTAGTTGACAGGAGAATTCAATTTAATGTGCTGTATTTTCAAATTAAGTTTTTTTTTTTTTCATACACTAACTGTTACCAGGATCTGGACCAGACGGAGCTGAGGAAATCAAACGCCATTCATTCTTCATGACGATTGATTGGAATGTAAGTTCTTCAGATTCATTAAGATATATTGGAATATTTCTATTAAAGGCTTCGGTGCGAATAAAATATTTTATATTTATTTTCAGAAACTCTTTAGACGAGAAATAAAACCTCCATTCAAGCCAGCTGTGGCCAGACCTGATGACACCTTTTACTTTGACTCAGAGTTCACTTCTCGTACCCCTAAAGGTGAGGGATCGTTTCTATGATCTGTAACTAGTCTCATTAGTTCTCAATTTGATTTTATTTCTTTTTTTAACCATGGCAAGAGTTGTTGACATTCAAAACAAACTACTGGAGAATTTAAAGCGTTCACATAAAAATAGAGATTCTGTCATTTACCCACCCTCACATTGTTTGAAACCTAAACGATTGCCTTTGTTCTGTTAAAAACAAAAGGAGTTGTTTAGCAGAATGCTATCAGAAAGTTGCTCTTATACATATAATAAATGTGGATGGAGACCAGAGGCTGTCAAACTCCAAAAAGGAAAAACATTACAATTACAGCACCAGACGCTATATCAAGTCTTCTGAAACTGTAGGATATCTCTGATTGAGGGGCAGACCAAATTTGAATTATTCACTAAAGTCTTGCAAGATTTGTTACATCTAATGATGGTCTCCATTCAATTTCATTTCATGGAAAAGAGCAGCATGAAAATTCTGCTCAGCATCTCCTTCTATGTCACACAAAAGAAAAAAAATAAAGAATTGAATGACATAATGATCAAAATATTACGTTTTGGGTGAACTCTCTCTCTCTTTCATAGTTTATGTGGTCTCTTCATGAATAGGGTAGCCATACAACAGATGGCTATAGTTTCATCTTGATCTACAAGCTGAGCTCACTGCTGTAAATTTGGAGCTTTGGGAGTTTTTTTTTCAAATGTCATCAGCATGGGTAATGTGGGATATGACTGTGGGCTTCACTTCATGGTTTCTCTGCTTCTTGGCCTTTCTCAGATTCCCCAGGTGTTCCCCCCAGCGCAGGGGCTCATCAGCTCTTCCGGGGCTTCAGCTTTGTTGCCACAGCGATGCTAGAGGAGGAGGGCAAAGAAGAGCCCTCTCAGCCCCCTCCACACCCTGTGGTACAGGTTAATGATCTATTATATGTCAAAATACATCTGAAAATAACTCTTTGTATTTAGCTGTGGTTAATGTGACATTCCTTGTCAGCTTTTATGACAGTGTACAACAGTATTACGGGGCTCAGGTTAAACTTAAGTTAACCAGGGGAATGCTGTTAATTAGCACAGAACATAATTAGGTTTTTTGTGCCTAGTTACAGTGTCTAGTTTTTCTTGTAATGGCTGTTTAAAGTTGATAAATTCTATAATTTTTATGCAATGATGAAAGTAATAAGGATATCCGACCTTAACACCTGCAAGGACTGTTTAAGTGGTGTTCACTTATGAAACCATTAAATTGCTTGAGGTTAGACTATAACTTGTTTTGAACCCTGAACATACTTTAGTCATCCTGTGATTTATGATTAAGTGAGCTTGAAATGGCTGACCACTAGATAGCAGTATTTCTACCTTTTCTCTTTGATTTATGTTCGAGTGAGTGTAATGCACTTTAATGTAGATGATGATACAGTGGTTAAATGTTAATGAAGGATGCTATTAGTGAAAATTTAGTTCTGCGCAAAGTAAATTGCTTTACTCAGTATTAGTGATATAATCATTCTGCGCTATCCAGCATTCGCTGTGTTGAGTTCAAACTGTAATAATAGTATGTAGTGTTTGTGCCTTGTTTTAAAGAATGTAATCAGTGTGTACAGTGTTCATTATAATTATTAGATTTTACTATTGGTACCGGTGTGTGTGTGTGGCTGTTCTAATACTCTCTCTCTTGTGTATCTGTCTCCAAGCAGCAGCTTCACGGTAAGAACATCTTGTTCAGTGACGGTTACTTACTGAAGGAGGACATCGGCATGGGCTCTTTCTCTGTCTGCAAACGCTGCATACACAAAGCAACCAACACAGAGTATGCAGTGAAGGTTAGAGCCTCACACCGTTAACCTCTCTAAATTTTGTACTGACATGGCTTTGAATTATCTTTTCTTTCTTTGGCATCAGCATTATTGGTTAGGTTACTTAAGTATCTGTGACTCTGTTTTTGATGAAACCTCATTTTACAGTCGATTTGGTTCCTTCTTTTCTTTTTTCTTTTTAGAAAATAGGCTAACTCTAGTTAAGAATCTATAGTTAATAGTTAATATCTATAGTTAAGAAAAAATATATATTTGCTGTTAAATGCTCTCTTAACTGAACATTATCAACAAAAAGGCTGTTCACTAAAAGAGTTTTAGATACATGTGGTCTTCAAGTAACTAATACTGTACATGATTTATTGTATAATTCTGATAGGTAATTGATAAAACAAGCACCGACCCATCAGAAGAGATTGAGATCCTGCTGAGATACGGCCAGCACCCTAACATCATCACTCTCAAAGATGTAAGTACAACAGCATATCATTTCACAATTAACTGATCTGCAGAAATCATCTGCATTATTGAAATTTAATATATGCACACATTACAGGGAGCTAAAAATGCTACCACTCCATATTTAATTAAAAAAAATAAACTTGTGGTGCAGGTGTATGATAATGGGAAGCAGGTGTACCTGGTCACTGAGCTGATGCGAGGAGGTGAACTGCTGGACAGAATCCTCAAGCTGAAGTTTTTCTCAGAAAGAGAGGCTAGTGCTGTGCTGCACACTATCACAAAGACTGTGGAATACTTGCACTGTCAAGGGGTGAGAAAGCATGCATGGACAAACACAATTACAGTTGTCTTGTAGATAAAAACCTGCCGCTGGCACAAAATATGTTATGATTCACAGCTTGTGACAGAGCCTTTCTTTCCCCCTCCTCTCTAAGGGTGTTCCCCAGGGCTCTTCCCTAGGCCCTCTTCTGTTCTACTCCCCTCTGTTCCCTCTCCTCTGTTTGCAACAGTTATTGTGATTAAATAGTTTTTATGTTGACATCTTTCCCAGAAGAACCACAATAGATATGCTTCTGAGGCCTAATATAATCCTGTAGCCTTTTATAGCACATATTATAGCAGTGCTTGAAAAATGAAAAAATGGGCTCAAATCAATTCAATTAAACCACTCTTCCTTGAAATCTTACCCTGATATAATGGTAAACTGGAATTAGGGGCAATTGTAACACTTGAAGAATGGAAAAAAATAACTCAAATCAATTAAATTAAACCACTCTTCTTTGAAATCTTACCCCAGTATAATAGTAAATAGGGATTGAGGGCAATTGTAACACTACATATATTTTATCACAATATTATTAGAATTATAGACCTTTGATTTAAACACGTTCCCAAAAGAATTAGTGCCATATAAACAATTAAGTAATATTAAAACAATAATATTATTACGTAGGGTATCATCTTATTTAAAGGGGTCATATGATGCTGCTAAAAATAACATTATTTGGTGCATTTGGTGTAATGCAATGTGTTTATGCGGTTTAAGGTTAAAAAAACACATTTTTGCGTGAACATTTGGGCGGCGCTATGCAAATCTTTCCACATAGTGATGTAGATATGTGGGGGCGTGTTAGAACGAGCCGTTTTAGGTAGGTGTGGCTGACTCTTAACTTTTATAAAGAATATCTCTTTGGATTTGAGACTTTAGTCTTTGCAACTTTACAGATCTTCTTTATGCACCAAGAGCTTGTAACACTCCGAAGAGAAAGGAAAAATTGAAATCGCATCATATGACCCCTTTAATAAAATGTATTGTTCAAGTGGTACAATTGCCTATTATGGGAGGAATTTTAACACTCAACTTGAAATTCTTTTTCATAACTGCTGCACTATTAATGGTACAGTTACAAGTTGGCACATATAAAAGCTTTTTGCACCTAAAGATGGCAGGTAGATTTGTAGCTGTTCTGGATTATGCAGGAAAATTTAAATGATTTTAAAATCCCTTGTGTGTGTGTTTTTTTTTCTACAAGGTTGTGCACAGGGACCTGAAGCCAAGTAATATTCTGTATGTTGATGAGTCTGGAAATCCAGAATCTCTGCGCATCTGTGATTTCGGTTTTGCCAAGCAACTCCGGGCAGACAATGGCCTCCTCATGACGCCCTGCTATACTGCCAACTTTGTAGCACCCGAGGTGAGTGTTTTTTCTCACAGCAGACTGAGGAATTCTGTGTAGACCAATAAACATTAAATGCCCAATGTTTTGAACTACAGTGATAGTGGAAAAACACATTTGCTGGGACTTTGTGTGTTGTTATTTGTAGCAAAGGACAGTTTGTACTATGTGGCTTTAAATTTTCTGGCGTCAACGTGACGTCTGTGTGGTGCAGTTTCGAGTATTATTCTCAATAACTGTGCTGAAAGTTATCATTTTGTGTTGCAGGTACTGAAAAGACAGGGCTATGATGAGGGCTGTGACATTTGGAGTCTTGGAGTATTACTATACACTATGCTTGCTGGGTAAGAACACACACACACATTCACTCGCATTATTAATAAACATTGCACATGCAGTTTCCACAAATAAAATCTGAAAACACACCCACACTCATTTTTCCTTTGGTTTTTAAATTGTCCCAGTTTTACACCATTTGCCAACGGACCAGAAGACACTCCAGAAGAGATTCTGAGTCGGATAGGGAGCGGGCAATTTACTCTGACGGGAGGCAACTGGGACGAGGTGTCTGATGCTGCCAAAGTAGGCCATGACCCCCACCCCCATCCACACAGCCATTCAAACCGCTTTTTATTTTCTCACACGCATGATTTTCCACGCAGGATCTGGTCTCTAAGATGCTCCATGTGGATCCTCACCAGCGACTCACAGCCAAGCAGGTCCTGAAGCATCCGTGGATCATTCAGAGAGACAAACTTCCCAACAGCCAGCTACAACATCAAGATGCCAAGCTTGTCAAGGTATCACAACCACGAGGCTCTTACATTTATTATATAGAACGTAAATGGTGGTCTATTACTTCACCAACTCTCTCCTCACAGGGGGCGATGGCCGCCACATACTCAGCACTGAAGAGTTCCCAACCACCCCCTGAGCTGAAGCCCATCGAGTCCTCATTCCTGGCGCAGAGACGGGTGAAAAAGCTTCCTTCCACATCTCTGTAGAGAACGAGGGAAGGAGACATGGAGAAGTACTCCAGACTGAATGCAGTTGTGGAAAGGATGGATGGATGGAAGAACCACACTGAAGCTCTACAGACTAAAGACGGTCTCTTGAACCTGCCCATGACAACAGCACTGCAGTGGAGCTGTCAAGCACGCTAGGCAAGGGAGGTGATTGGCTGATGAAGTTTGAAGGGCGTGGCCAGTGAGGGTTCCATTCTCCCTTAGAAGTAGGGCTGTGTGTTTGTGTGTGTGTATGAGAGAGAGAGAATTAAAAAAACCGGGTAAAGGATACTGTTATAAAATAGATGATATTCCCAGTGCATTTGTCTTGGTACTGTAATACCTAAATATCAACACTGCTGAGTTTCTTTTTTATTTCTCGGTTTTTGTTTATTTTTTTTATCTCTATAGTTTGTTCAACTGGATTTCATGTTTGATCTGTCTCCTCTTGGAAGCTTTTCAATTGTTATGCTTTCCAATTGTCCAGTAGATCTCTCTTAGTCAGTCTCTTCCTAAAAGCTCAAAGTGGCCTTTAGGAGAAGCAGAGATGTTCCGGTACAATATTTCACCCACATGGACGAGTAAAGGTTAAATATATCTTCCATAATGATCCGGTGAGCATGTTCACATGACTATCAACCTAAACATAGTGGAGAATGGAAGTGCTTTCTGCATGGATTTGTACAATGCTGTCTTGTTTCTTTCTTGTTTCCCCAACCTGGCACTTTTGCTTGGTGAACCTGTCAGCACTGTTGAGGACTGTTCAGAAAATGTCTTCTTGTGTGTATTAAAGTAAAGAATGAAAAAAGTGTGTACGTGAGATGACATCTGAAGCTTGTGGCATGGAAAAATGTTGCTCTTGTTAGACCAGTGCTTTTTCTGGATATTGACTGCTGTCTCCTGTCTCCTGTGTTTTGATTTTGTTGTTGTTGTTTTGCTTAAAGAGAAGTTATTTTATAAAGGCACATTGAACACAAAAGTGTATAAATATGACCACTGAGGAAATGACTTAATGATTGTGTATATTTTTACCTTGTCTGTCCTATTCCTTGTTCTCCCTGCGTTCAGATGCCTAGTGTGGTGGAACTATCAACTGTGTTGTGCTCAGGCTGTTCTTAGCGATGCCTTGCAAATTCATGAAGCCTTGTCTTGCTCAAGTATTGCACCCTTTACCAGTCAAACACATCTTAAAAGTTTTAGGATGTGCTTGCAGTATTGTTTTGCATTCCCTTTTCCACAATTCTTGAATTATTAAGAATTATGAAAATGTCTTTGCTCCAACATAAACAATTAGAAAAGCACCTAGTTCTGATTGTTTTGATTATTAAAACGAATAGTTTGACTAGGAATAGCTCGCTCCAAAATGAAAATTGTAACAATTTATTAACCCTCATGTGTTTCCAAAACTATATTGTATGACTTTTTATATTCCACAAAAGAAGATATTAAGTGGAATGTCCAAGCTATATTTAAGGACCAGAAATTCACTTTCATCCTATTGAAAAGAATATCATGGTCATTCTGCTATAAACAGAAAGTGATACAGGTTTGGAATGACATGAGGGTGAAAATTGTTCAGTCACTTTAAAAACAGTAACTGGAACAAAGTTACAGAACTATGTCCAAAGTGTTAAAAACCATAGTTGGTCTCTGTAATTGTGCGTTCTGTTTCTCCCAAACCTTATTTGGTCTTTGTGTGGTATCTGGGGTTATTATTGCCTAATCTTTAAAAAAACAAAAACAATTGTGATTTATTTGTCTTTCCTTGAAGAAAAAAAAATAGCTTTATTTGCTGGGAGTTGCAGCATTCGGTCGTATTACTGTGTAAATGTGTTTGTTTCTCCTGCCTGAGTTGTTTGTGGTAAAGGGGTGCAAATTAACACCCTTTGCTTTTACAGTAAAGGGGCTGAATTGAAGAACCTTCAGCTTGATGCCTTTCTATTAAAAGAAAAGAAAAAAGTATGACTTTTCCTGTATCTCTTGCTCAATCTTTCTTTTCTTTTTCAGTCACTGAATCATAATTTGGCCCACGTGAGCCGAGGTCTCCACCTCAATGTATTTGGCAGTCTTGGGGCATATTATATTTTTAATCTGCTCATTGGATTAATATACTAAAAGTCAGACAAAATGAGAGCTTTGTACATCAGAATTTAGGCCATGATGTGGTGGGATTATTTGAGAGTAAATCCATAATGAATGAATGACAAAGCTCTTGTATATACAGTATCTCTTGTCTGTTCACCTGTCTGTCTGTTTTTAATCCTGTCCTCACTTTCTCGCTCTCTCTCTGAAACATATTTCTCTCCTCTCCATCTGTTTTGCCTATTCCTCCTAGAAAGCTGCCCCTGTCCCTTAAACACACACGCTCCTTCTGAGTGACAGGTAAAAATATGCAACCCTGTTAACTATTGTTATTACTATTATTATATACACTACCAGTCAAACGTTTTTGAACAGTAAGATTTTTAATGTTTTTTAAAGAATTCTATTCTGCTCAACAAGCCTGCATTTATTTGATCCAAAATACAGCAAATATTGTGAAATTCTTACTATTTAAAATAACTGCTTTCTATTTAAATATATTTTCAAATGTAATTTATTCCTGTGATCAAAGCTAAATTGTCAGGATCATTACTCCAGTCTTCAGTGCACATGACCCTAAAGAAATAATTCTAATATGCTGCTTTGCTCTTGAAAAAAAAACATTTTTTATTATTATTATTATCAATATTTAAAACAGTTGAGTACATATTTTTCAGGATTCTTTGATGAATAGAAAGATCAGCATTTATCTGAAATAAAAATATTTTGTAACATTATACACCATATACCATTCAAAAGCTTGGAGTCAGTATAATTTTTTTCAGTAAAGGTTTCTTCTGAACTTTCTATTCATCAAAGAAACCTGAAAAAATTATACTCTGCTGTTTTCAATAATAATAATAATAAATGTTTTTTGAGCAGCAAATCAGAATATTAGAATGATTTCTGAAGGATCATGTGACTGGAGTAATGATGCTAAAAATTCAGCTTTGAAATCACAGAAATAAATTACATTTTAAAATATATTCAAATAGAAAACAGTTGTTTTAAATAGTAAAAAATATTTACAGTTTTTGCTGTACTTTGGATCAAATAAATGAGGCTTGGTGAGCAAAAGAGAATGCTTTAAAAAACATTAAAAATCTTACTGTTCAAAAACTTTTGACTAGTAGTGTAAATTGTATAATTTTTTATATGATTTACTTGCAAAAATTTATTAAATATTTCTTTTAAACTCATTCACTTCAATCATTTTGGTTTTAAACAAATGTCTTATAACAAGACAAGCTTATTCTTTCCAGACCTACTGTTAGCATCATCTTTAATACAATTTCATGCCGTCTCTCTCTCACTTTGTCCTCTCATTGTATGTAATCACTAAAGTAACATCTGCAGCACCTCTCTGAACATTACTGATGGAATTCCTGAAATAAATCCATCATTAATCCAACATTGAGAGCCCCCTTCCCTCCCCCTCCCAATAACTGCTCTAATCTCAGATGGATGGGGCTTTTAAACAGTTATTTAAAGCATGGCTGAGTGATTCTCACTTTGTACTGTCCCAGCTTATTTTCACTGGCCAAACCACAAAAATGGGGCTCATCACATCTCTATTGCTGCTTCACAGCTGTTATATCTTCTCCAGGCTGGTACGGTTTTTTTATTGCCCGTTCAGATAACACTAATATCTTTAAGTGATTTTCTCTTGTCTTTGAAATGAGAGTATGCAAAGTATCAAAGTGGAGTTCAAATGCACAATGTCCTTGAAATATTTGAATTATTCATTTACAGTGGTTTTGAAGCAGTATTGAGCCGGAGATGTTGGATTTTCCCATTATCTATAGTGTTCTTGAGATTTGACCAAACTTCCGCGGCAGTCTCTTCCCAGCATCACTAATGATAGGGGCTGGTTTCACATTAAGCTTGGTTATAATGATGTGGTGTCAGGTTGAGGGGAGTCTGGGGAAATGGAGTTTTTCATAGAGTCCACACACATCAGCTCTATTCCATTTTACGGCCGTGCTTCAGTGATGCATGATATAGTCAGGTACAGGTTACTATAGCATTAGGCATCTTTGACATGTCCAAATAAAGAAATGTAATTGGGCATTATTATTATTTAAATTCTTTTTGTGCTTTGTAGATAATCTTTGATTTGCTTTTGGGAGATCTGAGAAAATACGTTCTATCAGTGACAGAAGTGGCTTAGGGATAGAAGGACATGTCTTCTAAAAATTCCTTTATCACAACATTTTGTGAGAAGTCCAATAACATGGTTTCATTTACATGAAATTTTCAAAAAGAAAAATATTTAAAACCGAAAATAAAAGCAGTATACATGTTTGGCCTGTAACATGTCTCAAAATTATTTCATTTTTATTTAAGTATTCCCATATTGTATTCCCATATTGTATTCCCATATTGTATTCCCAACAATACCCTATAAATAAATAACATCATTTGATGTTTAAGTTGATAGTACTAACTCTCTCTAATTTAAAGATTTTTTCCATTATTAAATTAAATTTACCATTGTAATAAAGGTTTTTTGTGTATCCCTCAAGTTATTTTGCTACTTAGGCTACTAGTAGAATGCACATAAGGTAGTTCTCATAAAAAAAAATGTTTTATTACCTTCTTTCTGTGGTTAAGGCACAAATTTGGTGATTACATGAGAGCCAATACATTTCCATTAGGTAATACAAGTTAATTTGTATCTTTCAGAATACCTTCTGATATTCATTTATGATTATTTTGTGCTATAACTAGGAGTAAAGCAGAAGAGATGAAGAAGAGATGACTTTAGGCTACATTAAAAAGCACCAATGCGGCATTTAGTGTTTGGATTTTGTGATGAAATTGACAGAATTTGAAATCTGAGATTTTGTTTCTTATTAGAATTCACAAGGCTCACTGCGATTGTTGGATGGCCGGCAGGTTACAAATAATGTTTAATTAAGCTTTTTTCAGCCTCATGTCTCATATTTTCCGCTGCATGTGTCACACACACACACACACAGTGGCACAGTGGGTGTGTGTGTCGAGTAGGAAAGAAGATGCGCATGCAGAGGTGAGATTATCAGTCTGGTTGAATTGCATTTATTTAAGATCATCATACCTTGAAGGGTTGCAAAGTTAGGATGTTTTCACAATAACCATCTCAAACAAATATTACGGTTACACAGTATAATGGTATGGACATGATGTACAGTTATACCGTGAACCATTACCGTTCGTTTTGTACGTTTCACGATAACATTTTCAACAATTACAATTTGATGGTATACTGTATCACATAATTTGATTCCAAATTGCTTTATTTGTATATATATTTACAAATTAATATATACATTATATATTTATATTTATTAATTAGCTTCAGCAAATTGTCTATTTTTCTTAAATGAATGCTGTAAACTATTTCGGGATGAAACCATGCAAGACAAAAATGTCAGTAAACCATATCTCTGAGTAAACACATTTTCGATTTACAAGCAGCTCATTCCCGTCGATTGTGTCTGATAGTCATCAGCTTTTTTTTATTATTATTATTTTCAAACATAGAAAACACCACAAAACCAACCCGATCTCATGAAAGTGCATATAAATAGTACGCCAAATAAAAACAAAAATTTTGTGGTATTGATACGCAAAAATTGACTTTGGTGTGTATATGCTACGCAATGGGTAGGATTAGAGTTGTGGAGTAGATGCGTATCATATGCATGCCAACAAATTTCGTATCATATGCACGTGAAAACTGCATATTATATGCACGCCAAACACGTGCGTATCATATGCATGCCAAAGTCAATTTTTGCGTATCAATACCACGAGTTTCTGTTTTTATTTGGCATACTATTTTTACGCATTTTCATGAGACCGGGCTCACAGAACATACAGTGCAAATATAAAGGAAAGATCCAACAAGGCAACAGACAATTCTAATTTGAAAAAATACTACTACTAAATAAATAAATAAATTCCCATGTGCAAATCTTGAATTACCTATTTGGTGCCTATTAAGCCAATTTAAACATACCTATTTTTAAAACCCATTCTTACTAGAATTTTACATGAATGCTGTAGCATTCATTATATTCCATCTGCCACTTGAATTTAGAAATGATTAATTATATATAAACAATTGTAGAACAATTAAAGAAATTATAGAAATTAATTATTGGTCTAAAATCAGAGGGTGGAATTTGACAGTAAAAATATTACAGTTTGACGGTACCATATTACATAATTTTGATTCCATATTGCTTAATTGAAAAATATTTCACCTGCATGTTTTGCTGGTGTTTTTTTAGCTTTAGCTTGAACACGAAATAATTCCCTAACAAATAGCACATTTATTGTTATGTATTATTTGAATACAATAATATACATAAAACTTATGTTTTATGAATGCCAAGATCTGTTGCTTGGCAACAGCAGATCGTGGAATGTTGGATTTGCAAATTATCTTACATCTCTGGCTATTTATGACCTCAGCGGGGGAGGAAAAAAAGTGAGAGGGATGCAGAAAGAATAACTTCAAAGAGAACAAGAGAGGAAAATGTGTACGAGTGTGTGTGGGGTGGGCGGTCAATTCTCCATTCCTACAAAATCTGATATAAAGCTGTGTTGCTATGGGCAACACACAGTGGGAGGGAACAGGGTATGATCAAGCAGGGAT